TCCTTGTTTGATCATCCATCAGTTTTAACTTCAACTCCCCTCTCTCCTTCATCCATTGACACTCAGCACCACGAATCGTTCTTAATGCATTTTGTTTCACACGCTGACTCCGTCTACCTCGTACAATACCTGCTATCCATCTTTGTCACTTTTTATTCAAAGCTATACACCAGTGTCCATTCATCAGTGCTGGGATCATTTAAGCAGAATCAAACACTTGCAGCAGGGAGCTAAATGTGTAAATGCTCCTTATGCTTTTTACAGATGCTTAAAGAAATGTGTGCATGTGTTGTGCGCATGCTTTCATGTGCATGCTGGTGACCTCTCCTTGTGCTAGTACAGTTCATTGACTTGGCTGCCAGACCTTATAAAACGGTGACCGCTCAATCTGTTACATTGGCTGCTACTTCACTGACTCAGTGTGTGAGCGGGGGGGAAAAAACACCAGTGCAATATGGAGTCTCACACTGGTACAGTACATGTGGGAATCTGTGTGCACTTGAAGTCGATGGAGGTGTGTGTTTACATGTCTGTTTGAAGGCTGCAGTGTGTTTTCTCATCTCTGTCCATGAGAATTCATCTATGAAGTCTTGGATCAAATAACTGGCTTCATGCAGGAGGTTGAGGCAAAGGTGAATAAGGCTGAAAACTGGCATTCTGGGAATGTGTGTACACAAAGTAGCCCAGCAGTTGTGCCATCACCAGAGATCAGGACAAATAGCTAGTATGTACACATAAATGTGAATAAACTGTCATTTCCAGCAAACACTCCCAAGTCAGCTAGTGTACTAAACTGTAGAGCTCTCAACGTGTACATGTTTTATATTTGCACTTCATGAGCTCCAGTGTCCATGTTTGCATGTGTTTAACATTGTAATTTTTCTGTGCTTGTGAATGCTTTGAGTCTGTTTTGGTTGAATTTGCAAGGTGTTTTCATAAATAGGACTTTTTTTTTTTTTTTTTCTTTGAGGAGAAATCACTACTTTCTGTATTTTGTATTTTAATTTTATTTTTTTCAGTCAGTATTTGATGCATGAATTTGCATGTGAGTCTGCATATTATACACCTGATCTGTTTACTTGTGAGATGAGTTTTCAGGGGGCTAATGCAACTCTACAAGTTTTGGGATTAATAAGACATTTTAAGCAGGTGTTATTTTACTCAAATGGACAGTTTGATTACAGACCCATGTTCTAGCCGGGTATTATTTTTCACTCTAACTGCATTTCCACAACAGCGAGGCTCTGTTCAAGTCTTATTTAGTTGCCAGAGTCTAATTGCTGCAATTTAGCTTAGGGCCATCTTTGTCTCTGCAATCAATCTCCGTCTTTTCCTCTGCCCGTTTGAATGTCTTAACATTTATGATCGCCAAATGGAAATCAAAGCAATCCTGAAGGCATTAAGCTGGTTTAACAATTAAGAAATAAACAAGCATGTTTGTTTAAATACAGGAGAGAAGCAATTTAGGTCCTTAATTTCTCTTGGTGAATTCATCCTAGTCTGATTTAAATAAAAAGCTCAACACTACAAAACAAGATTTGCTTTTCTCTGGTTTGTTTGGACATTTGATTACTTGTGGCCTTTAAATTTTATTCTAACATTTGCGTTTTGCTTTTTCAGTTTCTCAAATGCGGTAGATTTCAAATAATGACAAAGCTTTGACTATAGGAATAATCACTGAGATGTTACTTTGGGCTGGTCTGATTGTCGAAACTGAACATTGGTGTACCAACCAATCACATTGCTTTGCTCACATCAGGATTGTAATTTGTGTAAATCTGCCCAGTCTTGAAATTATGGTCACGATAATAAAGGTTATTTATGTAGCATTTATATTCCAATTACACTCTGTATGCAGCTCCCACTGGGTGAAATTAAACTGGTGCTGAAACAATCCAAAGTGAGAGTTTGAAAGATGAATGAATGGAAAGCGCTCGTATTGGCCTGCTAACATGTTAATTTCCATCAGAGGTGTGTTACTCTGAGAGCAGCAATGTACAGCTTTGAGCAGGAAAGCATTTGGAGTCGTGCAATTTCAAAGAATACCAATTACACCAGGTGATTATATATTTAGATTTTGTTTGGGACAGTTACGATCGGGTGCCAGACTAGTTTCTTTTAGACGGTCATTCCAAAAACTCCGTTTGTAAGGAAGAAACATGAACTATAATAAACAACTAGTTCAAAAAACTGCAAATCCTGCTTGACATTAAAATCAAAGTGGAAATTGAAAAGAACCAGTTGATGATTCTCCTTTTGTTTGTAGCCTTTTGTTTTCTGGAAAATAAGGTTAAAATGCAATTTTCCATAAAACAAAGCAATTTTATATGGTGGATTTCATAGTTCTGATTAATAGAACATAACTGTGCCAAAAAGAGAATATTTGTTGGCTGACTATGTGGAAGTCGTGAGATGCAGTTTGCACAAGTTTCTTTTCTTTTTTTGAAGGCTGTTGTTAGAAAGTGAGTCACATTAAGACGAAATATCAAAACCTATTCATCATCAATGACCTATGTGCCTCCAAGGTGGAGTATAAAATCAACATGTTTGTGATCTGCTGAACTGGTAGCTCCATTGTTATACTTTTGCTTCCATGCACTGCACAGTGTTGACTCCACCTGATGTGCACTGTTGTGTGTTCGTTGGTGACGCTACTTCAATGTAGCAGTGGCCTAGCCCTTCAGAACATTGAGACCCAACACGCACCACAACGACTAATCAGAAATGGCTTTGCAACACAACAAAAAACAACAAAAACCCAGGGTGTTAAATCATCCTTAGGACTTCTCAGTTTCCAATCTGTTTAGCTGTCAGTGGTATATGCCAGAAGAAGGCCAGCTCGGGGGGGCACTATGGTGCCCACAGGACCCAAAGGTGTCCCTCCAGGTGCTAGACACAACAGGACAACTACTAGATTGCCTGACCATAGCCTGTAGGGTCGAACTTGTTTGAGTGTGAGAGATTTTAGACACATAGCTGTATTAGATCCTGGTCTTTTACACTTCTTATTTAACCATCATCCATTATTTTCTTCATATAAACTTCTCAAACATCTTAATTGAAGATCCCCTTTCCAGTAGAAAGTAGTGATGGGAAAGCAAACTTAATACATTGGCAGTGAGCAGTTATTGGTTGTGCATTGGGTCAGATATTTGTGGAGCTTTTGAGTAGGGGTGGGTTTTGATGATCGATTTATCGATTAAAATCGATCCTGGCTTGTATAACGTGATATCGATTCATTAAAATCCTGAATCGATTTTTTTCAATATAAATTTATTTTGCCCGAAACGCCAGAATTTCAGGTTAAACCTCACAAAATTTAAACAACCACCAAACAGCTAAGACAGTAAATGAGAGCAGGAACACGGATTCTGCACAAAGACGTTAAAACACAGCTCGCACCCACCGACGGATCAGAATCGGTGAGATGTGGCTTTCTCACCTGATGGCACGGACATGGTCGGGGCTGAAAGCAGACAGCTCGCTGATTCTGATGTTTCGGCGGGTCCGCGCTTTGTGTTCACGCCCTTTTTGCGCCGATTCTAAAGCTGTTAGTTTTATCTCTTTCCAAACAATACTGACCGAACCAGCAGCAAAAGATCCAAACTGCGCTTCACATAAACATCGTCATGAATTCACTCTGACTTTTGCTGTTTTGCTTCCACCTCGATAAAATCACACGTCAGCGCTCGCTCTCTCGCTCTTTCTTGCTCTCTGTACTTGAAGAACAGTTTCCCGTCGAAAAATCTTTTTTTCTTCATTATTTGCTTCCTTGTTACGCACAAGTCTACCGTTGTTTACAGCCTGTCGGCCGCTGTTTTTTTCCGTTTTTTTTCCTTACTTCCGAAAAGAGAACCTAATTTCTGCCGTTCAACAGGCTTCTGAACAAATTTAAACTTTAAAATTATGCAAAATGCAAAACGCTTATCTCTAATAAAAC